GCGCTGACTGCTACACTCAAAGCTAAAATATACTGTTCTTCACAAAGTAAAAGTTCTTGTTTAACGTTTCTTTCATATAACACTCAGCTCGGATGTGCTGTGACGATTCCAACAGGGAGAGAGAGACATATTTTCCTATAATTATGCGACCAAGAATTCTATTTTAAGGAGAAAATTCAGTTTTTATGATTCGAAAATGTCGAATTTTTAAAAATCTACATGTGACATCGTGTGGTCCAAGCAGGCTACGCACGCTACGTTGCCAGATGTACGAGCACCATGGCGGACTTGGGAATCGAGAGATATGACATCCTACGTACACGTCACTCGATTTATACTCTTTACTTATCTTGTATTCTTTCTGTTGTTTGTTTTTGGGGATTTTTTCTTCCGTGATTAAGATATATTACGGTACGACAGTTTGGGAGACAGGGAGTATCTGTCGTTGCTTGTGACCCCCCACCCCCCCACCCACCCTTCCCCCCACTCCCTGTTTCGGAGACAGAGAGTATCTGTCGTTGCTGTGTGCCCCCCCCCCACACCCCCACCTCTCCCCCCACTCCCTGTTTCGAAGACAGGGAGTATCTGTCGTTGCTTGTGCACCCCCACCACCCCACCCTTCCCCCACTCCCTGTTTCGAGACAGGGAGTAATTCTCGTTGCTGTGCACCCCCCCCCCCCACCCTTCCCCCACTCCCTGTTCCGAGACAGGGAGTAATTCTCGTTGCTTGTGCACCCCCCCCCCCCCACCCCCACCCTCCCCCACTCCCTGTTTCGGAGACAGGGAGTAATTCTCGTTGCTTGTGCACCCCCCCCCACCCACAACCCCCACCCTCTCCCCCCACTCCCTGTTTCCGAGACAGGGAGTAATTCTCGTTGCTTGTGCACCCCCCCCCACCCACACCCTTCCCCCCACTCCCTGTTTCCGAGACAGGGAGTAATTCTCGTTGCTTGTGCACCCCCCCACCCACCCACACCTTCCCCCCACTCCCTGTTTCCGAGACAGGGAGTAATTCTCGTTGCTTGTGCACCCCCCCCACTCCCTGTTTCGGAGACAGGGGGTATCACCCCCCACCCCACCCCCACCCTTCCCCCCACTCCCTGTTTCGAAGACAGGAGTAATTCTCGTTGCTTGTGCACCCCCTACCCCCCCCCCCACCCTCTCCCCCCACTCCCTGTTTCGGAGACAGGGAGTAATTCTCGTTGCTTGTGCACCCCCCTCCCCACCCACCCTCTCCCCCTCTCCCTGTTTCGTTCCTCCTGCCCTCGCCCACCCCCCCTCTCCCCCTCTCCCCCCACTCTCTGCTTCGGAGACAACTCTCGATCCTTAATCAAATAACATTCGTATAAACAGACATATATATACACAGAACCAAATGCATATCTATCGATCTATCAAATATGAATTCATTTTTCAATCCGTAAGGTAGATATGCACGCTTAGACTGATAGATATGCTTTTTATTTCTGTGTATGTGCGTGTCCGTGTAACGAACATCAATTAGGTCGGGCCTGGCGCAATTTGAACCAACCGGCCGTATAACTGGTATAACCTGAAAACCTTCCATCCACAATTCCACCAAACAATCACACCAAACAATCACTGGTATAACTGATAACCTGAAACATTCCATCCACAATTCTACCAAACAATCACAAACAATCAAACAATGATACACTATCACACACCACAAAGAAACACCGATTTTTGCTTGTCCAGAGAGACCTGTGCCAACAACATCAAAGAAAACAAAAGACAATTGACAGACACAGTCACACGACACACCGGAAAATTGGGCTTCCCTTAAATCCTTCAAAAAGACATTTGTCAATAACATATAGAAGGTCGAACGCAAAACACAACTATGTCTCACAAACAATTGAAGAAACGCTTCTAAACTTTCCTAGACCCCATTTTTAAAAATGTTATTATCATTTTCTGTTCATCATATATATATATATATATATTTATATATATATATATTATATATAAATGGTTTGTATGTCCATTCAGTGTACTGTTTTTTTTTTTTTTTTTTTTTTTTTTTTTTTAGACGCTAAAGTCCACTTTTTTTCTAGACGCTAAAGTCATCATAGACAGCGACTTTTATTTCTGGTTAGGAATCTCTAAATGTATTTTCATTTATTTCATGCATTTATTTACGCATTCTTGAAATTCTCAAGATGTTTACGAAAACTTCTTTGATCAACATATGTGCAGGTATGATAGTCCTAAGAACAACAAATCTCGGATTTTGCTTTTTCTATTTCTTAGCCGCATGTGGATATTCACCTTCTTGGGTATGTTGCGGATATTCGCCTTGGGTATGTTGCGGATATACCCCAGGTTGAGGATGCTGTGGGTATACATCTGGCTGAGTATGTTGTGGATATACCCCTGGTTGAGGATATGTGGTATAGGCTGGGTATGTTGTGGATCTACCCCTGGTTGAGGATGCTGTGGGGATACATCTGGCTGGGTATGTTGTGGATATACCCCTGGTTGAGCATGTTGTGGGTATACATCTGGTATGTTGTGGATATACTCCCGGTTGAGAATGCTGTGGGGATACTTCTGGCTGAGTATGTTGTGGATATACCCCCGGTTGAGGGTGCTGTGGGGATACATCTGGCTGGGTATGTTGTGGATCTAACCCAGGTTGAGTATGTTGCGGATATTCACCTTGGGTATGTTGCGGATATACCCCCGGTTGAGGATGCTGTGGGGATACATCTGGCTGGGTATGTTGTGGATATACCCCTGGTTGAGCATGTTGTGGGGATACATCTGGCCGAGTATGTTGTGGATATACCCCAGGTTGAGTATGTTGCGGATATACCCCTGGTTGAGCATGCGGTGGGTATACTTCTTGCCGAGTACGTTGTGGATATACCCCCGGTTGAGGATGCTGTGGGTATACATCTACCCGAGTATGTTGTGGATATACCCCAGGTTGAGTATGTTGTAGGCCTAACTGACGTGGATATGCTTCTTGTTCACGTGTCGAATCTATGTTCAGGGACGATTTGTTCTGTTTGGAGACGAGACACAAGAACACACTTCCCGTAACTAGAAACATCACTGTAAAAGGAATGTTATTTGTTATTGATGGTTGTTATGGGATTGAACAAAAATTATTTGTTATTGATGGTTGTTGTGGGATTGAAAAACATAAGATCAGTTATTGGTTGTTATGGGATTGAACATAAGATGTTACTTGTTATTGGTGGTTGTTATGGGATTGAACATAAGTTATTTGTTATTGATGGTTGTTATGGGATTGAACATAAGGTCAGTTATTTGTTATTAATGGTTGTTATGGGATTGGACATAAAATCAGTTACTTGTTATTAATGGTTGTTATGGGATTGAACATAAGTTATTTGTTATTGATGGTTGTTATGGGATTGAACATAAGATCAGTTATTTGTTATTAATGGTTGTTATGGGATTGAACATAAGGTCAGTTATTTGTTATTGATGGTTGTTATGGGATTGAACATAAGATCAGTTATTTGTTATTGATGGTTGTTATGGGAATGAACATAAGATCAGTTATTTGTTATTGATGGTTTTAAGGGAAGAACATAAGATCATTATTTTGTTATTGATGGTTGTTATGGGATTGAACATAAGATCAGTTATTTGTTATTGATGGTTGTTATGGGATTGAACATAAGTTATTTGTTATTGATGGTTGTTATGGGATTGAACATAAGATCAGTTATTTGTTATTGATGGTTGTTATGTGATTGAACATAAGATGTTATTTGTTATTGATGGTTGTTCTGGGATTGAACATAAGATCAGTTATTTGTTATTGATTTTTGTTATGGGATTGAACATAAGTTATTTGTTATTGATGGTTGTTATGGGATTGAACATAAGTTATTTGTTATTGATGGGATTTGAAACATAAGATCAGTTATGTGTTATTGATGGTTGTTATGGGATTGAACATAAGGTCAGTTATTTGTTATTGATGGTTGTTATGGGATTGAACATAAGTTATTTGTTATTGATGGTTATGGGATGAACATAAGATTAGTTATTGTTATTATGGTTGTTATGGGATTGAACATAAGGTCAGTTATTTGTTATTGATGGTTGTTATGGGATTGAACATAAGATTATGGTGAATTGTGATGGTGAAAATGCTGCTTCCGGTGGATGTCAGAACAGCATTTTTTAATTTTTATCATAAACGAGAAATTAAATCGATACTAACATCGATGTTTTGATAAAGATTGCAGGTGAATGTCACGGGAATATTTGGGAACAATAAACATCACGATAGCGATTAAAATATAACATGAATCTAGGCAATATCGGGATACAATAATATGAACAACAACATGAGATTAAACCAATAATTATGAAAATACAACAAAATAAAAATATTACTAATATATCAATATAAAAATAACTATAAAATAATATAAAAATAAATATAAAATAATATAAAAATATCAATAATATGAACAACATAAAATTAAACCAATAATCATGAAAATACAACAAAACAAAAATATCACTAACATATCAATATAAAAATAAATATAAAATAACATAAAAATATCAATAATATGAACAACAACATAAGATTAAACCAATAATCACGAAAATACAACAAAACAAAAATATCACTAACATATCAATATAAAAATAAATATAAAACAAAATAAAAAATATCAATAACATGAACAACAACATAAGATTAAACTAATATATCAATATAGAAATAAATATAAAATAATATAAAAATATCAATAATATGAACAACAACAGAAGATTAAACCAAAAATCACGAAAATACAACAAGACAAAAATATTACTAACATATCAATATAAAAATAAATATAAAATAATATAAAAATAACTATAAAATTATATAAAAATATGAACAACAACATATGATTAAACCAATAATCATGAAAAAGAAACAAAACAAAAATATCACTAACATATCAATATAAAAATAAATATAAAATAATATAAAA